TAAGCTCCTTCAGGTTTTTGATAACATGCCTCATTGTTTGCAGAACATCACAAGGGCCACCATCATGATCATGTACATGATTCTGCTGTATCCAGTGTTAGTATTGTGTCTGAGGGAGCCTTAGATTTAGATGAGGTATGTGCTCTTTCTTTCTTTCTAGTTAGCTTCTTATTTTTTCGTATCATTATCTGATTATTGTTGAGTTACCAATTTAACCGGCCACCGCAAGGTTAAAGTCCTGCGGCTCTGGCCTAATGTAACACTTGTTGATATATTAACAAGGCTTGCTCTACTTTCACTTTATAGTTGAAAATACTTCCTTGTCTATGTTTTGCCCAATTTTTTTATATTTTGTATGAACAACATTTTACTGGGTATGCGATCCAGGTTGATGATTGGCTTGAAAGACTGATTGAAGAGAATGGGGATGACCTGTACAGGATGAAAGGGGTTTTATCTGTGAGCGATTCTGAACAACGCTATGTTTTCCAGGTTCTCATCAATTTCGTCTTTGTGGTATTCTTGATCTTGATGCTCGGTCATTCTGATTTTGATCCTTTTTCTTGCTTTTCTTTCTTTGAACTTTTGGAAAGGGGGTACATTCCATTTTAGATGGATGCCCAGGCAAGACATGGGAACCAAATGAGAAGAGAATAAACAAGTTAGTATTCATAGGCAGAAACCTAGATGAAACTGCACTAAGAAAAGGTTTCAAAGGCTGCTTATGTGAGGAATAGATGATGGACGCATGTTATCCACCGGCAAGCTGTAGTTCAGATTGAGCATAAATGCATACAGATAGCCATAGCGCGAACCTTATGAAACTGTGAGAGTTCATTCTGTTATCGATATAGAATATGATCTAATGTGATACTGTCCTCTTGTATCTTGGTTCCGTCTCTCAATTTCTTCCTCCCCCCATCTCCATTCTCCTCTTTCGGGGACCTGTCTCATGTAAAAAAACGGTTGTGATGAATCATGTACTGACTCATTTGAAATGTACATTTAAGTTAATTTATTCTTCCTTCATGTTTTCTCCATCATTTCTGTTTGTGTTTCAGTTTGTGCCATACATGCTTTCCCCCTCAAGTAGTTCAACATTTGTTAGCAAGTAAAAAGGGTGTTATTTTGGGCCTGCATAGTGCTTTTTGCTTTGAATCATACAAGTGTCATCTTTAGATTACCTGGATTTAGTCTTCATAGCATAGATAAAAATCCTATTCCCACACCGTCGCACCCTACATGAACTCAGGAAGCTTTGTGTACTAGATTGTTTTTGTAACATAGATAAAAATCCTATTTGGATGACACTGATGTGATCAATGCAGTAGAAAGAGAGAGAAGGTACTAGTAGCAATAAAGGATATGGAAGGATCAAAGGGTAATGGTTGGGTGGTTAATAAAGTAGGTTAAGAACCATGAAGTCTCGCATTCCTATTCAGGTCAAAGAAACATTGTAATTGGTCTCATTGCTGTCAATAATATTCTAACAAGACATTTTCTTCTAGTTGTCTTGTGTATTTTTTTCTTGCAAGAATATTCTTCTGTCATCCTTCCCCTTTTGTTCCTGTTCCCTTCTCTTTTAGCTGCAATATTCTTATTAAAAGTGCCATTTTCAGTCTGATTTCTGAGCTTTGCATTTTTGTTCTTCCATAGAAAGATAATAATATTGAGATTCTTTATAGAGTAAAATAAAGAGAACAGTATGCTACTCTAATATCTATTGTTTGATAAATTTTTACTTTTCATAGAATTAGATACTCCATTCTTCTTGAAAAAGGTGTTACATTCAATGTGGCCCGTCCCAAAATAAGTATTGCTTTAGCTCATTCACGTTTACAAAGAAAAATAATAAATGTCAGGTGTAGTTTACTAAGTTAACCCTATTTATTAGGTATTTCTTGAGAATTCAAAACAATTACTACTATTTTTATCTTGAATCATTAAAGCGACACTATCAAACGTTTTTCTATTGAAGTGACACTTATATTGGAATGAATGAAGTATTATTTTTAAATCATGATTATAGACTGCACACATTTTTTCTCATTTCAGAAGTTCCAATACCTCTTACATTCACTAAAAATTAGTATTCAATTAGTCGAGGTGAAATTTTTTTTTAGCTCAAATATCACAATTATTAAAAAGAAAAAAGAGAACTAGTACAATTTGTTTTTAGGGAGAACATGGGCAAGCTGGCTGAAATTTATACAAAAGAGAATATGTAATTGTGTTTGTTTCTTAGCCTTTAACTCATAAAAAGCCAAAAGATACATAAGACAAATTTATATTTATATGTAAATAGAGAAATCTAACGTGGAGTAGGTAGATTTAAAGATGATCTGATTATTACAATAGAGTATAGGTTGTTGAATAAACGTGGTTTCTTTTTATTTTTAACACTAGTAAAATTATCCGCGCGAAGAATTTAATATCACAAAATTTATAAAAAAATACTTAAAATCTACCAGTCATTAAAACTAAAACACTATATTGTCTTACATACAAGATTACATAGTAACAAACATTAATAATGTAAAGGAAAATGAAAATTATTACATCTTATCATTTATCCTTAATAATATAAGCATAAATTAATGACTGTAAAAATACATATCAGGATCTGTAACATAAGTCATGGTGTTAGTGAGCCACTCAACAGGAGCAAAATACACAAATATTTAATTGTGAAGAAGAAGAAGAGTAGGTTCAGAATTTTCGTTGTTTTAAAATGAGAGGAAATCCCTCAATTTATAGACAACAAAGGGTAGTGTGAA